TCTGCCTAATCCTTCTTTCCTCTATTCCTTACAGGTATGGTTCCAAAGAGCACTACCCACTAAAACTCCTGCTTGAAACCTCAGTCTCAGGGCTTAGAACTTGGACAATCCAAACTATGACAAGAAGAGATACAATAATATTGAATGTGATGTGACAAAATGAGACTGAGAGATAATCAGAGTTTTAAATGCGTTTACTAGGGGAAAAAAGAGAGCAAAATAAATAAATATCCAACAAGAGAAAAAACAAAACAAAACCCTGAGGACCTGATAGGAAAATGGGCAAAAACACGAACAAACACGTCGACAGAAAGATACACAAATGGCCCTTAAATATAAGATGTTCCACTTCATTTATAATAAAATATGTTAATATTTTTTATTAACTTAAAACTATGTTAGCACTAGCCATGAACAATCTGAAAATAAAATTAAGAAAACATATTTAGAATAGCACCTAAAAGAATACACATTGAAGAATAGATTTAACAAAAGAGTATGAAATTTGTGCTCAGGAAACAATAAAACATTGTCGAAAGAAATTAAAGAAGACATAAGTATGTAGAAAGACAACCCATGTTCATAGAATGGAAGATTCAATATTGTTAAGCTGGCAATACTCCCAAGATTGACCTACATATTCAAGAGAATTCCTATCAAAATACCAGCTGGCTTTCTTTTGCAGAAATTTACAATATGATCCTAAGATTTATGTGGAAATGCAAGAGGCAATCTTGAAAAAGAAGAACAAAGTTGGAAGATGGACATTTCTTGATTTCAAAACTTACTAAGAAGCCATAGGAATCAAGACAGTGTGGTAACCACATAAGGATAGATATATAATAGATCAATGGAATAAAACTGAAAGTCCATAAATAAACCCTAACCATATGGTTAACCAATTTCTGACAACAGTGCCAAGACAATTCAATGGAGAAAAACAGTCTTTTCAACAAATGGTACTGGGACAACTGCACCCAAAGGAATGGAGTTGCACTCCTTCCTTACATCACACAAAAATTAACTTCAAATTAACTCCACAGACTTACGTGTAAGAGTTAAAACAATAAAGCTCTTAAAAAAGTCTTCATGGGTTAGGCAAAATCGTCTTAGATACAACACCAAAAGCATAAGTGACAAAAGAAAAAACTAGATATATTGGACTTTATCAAAATTAAAAATTTTGTGTTTGAAAGGACACAATCAAGAAAATGAAAAGACAACTCATAGAATAGGAGAAAATATATGCAAATCCTGCATCTGATAAGGGACTTATATCCAAAATATAGAAAAGACTCTTACAACTCAATAATAAAGACAAAAAATTCCAACTAAAAATGGGCAGATGACCTGAATGGACGTTTTTCCAAAGATACACAAATGGCCAACAAGCACATGAAAAGATATTCAATGTCATTAGTTATCAGGGAGATGCAAATCAAAACCACAATGAGATACCACTTACCATGGAGACTCTAAACTTCCTCTGAAAGGGTAAATGTAATAGAAATATGGAAAACAGGAAGAAGCCATACAAACACCAGAAACAAACTCATGTATGTGTAGGAAGTTAATATGTGACTGAGTTGGCATTGTACATTAGCAAAGAGATGTACTGCTCAATGAATGATTTGGTAACAATTAGCTATCTACTTGAAGAAAAATCAAACTGGATCCATATGTGATAGATACAAAAATAAATTCTAGGACCTCCCTGGTGGCGCAGTGGTTGAGAATCTGCCTGCCAATGCAGGGGACACGGGTCTGAGCCCTGGTCCGGGAAGATCCCACATGCTGCGGACAACTACGCCAGTGCACCACAACCACTGAGCCTGTGCTCTAGAGCCCGCGAGCCACAACTACTGATCTCACATGACACAAGTACTGAAGCTCATGTACCTAGAGCTCGTGCTCTGCAACAAGAGAAGGCACAGCAGTGAGAAGCCCGCGCACCACAAGGCAGAGTAGCCCCCGCTCACTGCAACTAGAGAAAGCCCACACGCAGCAACAAAGACCCAACGCAGCCAAAAATAGATAATTAGTTAATTAAAAAATAAATAAAAAATAAATTCTAAATAAAGTAAAAACCTAATCATAAAAGCCTATAAATATGACAAAAGAAAAATGTTTTGTAATACCTTTATGATATTATTAGTATTAAGCAAGACATTATTAATATTAAAGACCTAAATTCTGATAAAAAGAGGAAGAGTTGACACATTAAGTAAATTAAAATCAAAAAGATTTATAAAGCACCATAAATAAAGCTAAAAGGCAAACAACAGAATGGGAGAAAATGTTTGTAATCTTTATAACGGACAAGAGACCTAAAGAACTTCTACAAAGCAATAAGGCAGGGTACATAAAGATTCACACTCAGGATGTGCACTGCAACTGTTTTAATAACAAAAAATCGACAACCTCAGTGCTCATCAATTGAGGGATAGTTAAGTTAGAATAAATTCACACTTTTAATAGCTAAAAGAATGAGGTATATAAATATTTTGTCATTAAAAGTTCTAGTGTTACCATAAAAACAATCAAGCTTCACAATATATGTATCTTAATCCCATTTATATTTAAAAATAGATTTATGGGATTCCCCCTCAGTCCAGTGGTTAGGACTCCGCCCTTCCACTGCAGAGGGCGGGTTCAAACCCTGGTTAGGGAACTAAGATCCCGCATGCCATGCAGTATGGCCAAAAAAAAAAAAAAAGATTTATGGCTATGTTCAAAAAGAAGCAGCAGGGGACACTTCCCTGGTGGTGCAGTGGTTAGGACTAGGTGCTTCTACTGCAGGGGGCACGGGTTCCATCCCTCACGGGGGAAGTAAGATCCCGCACGCTGCACAGCATGACCACCCCCCCAAAAAGAAGGATACGTATCTACCGGTATGTATTTTACTGATTTTATCTCTAAAGAGAAGCGGTTGAAATGGGAGGAACTAATGGACGATACTTTTATTCTATATACCTCTACATTGTTTGAATATTTTACAGTGATAATATTACCCAATCATCTAAATTTAATAACCCATAACTGGAAGTACATGTTGAAAACCTGGTAATTAAGAGTCACCAAGAAGCCCAGCTTCCAGAATACCAATCATATATTATTGGTATATTCCTTCCAGTTTTATTATTGTATATTTCATAACAATATCATTCTGTATCTAACATTTATAGCCTTTAAAAAAATAACATTTCATGAGGATTTCCCCTTTTCAGAAAAAAATCCTCCTCTACTGACCATATAATGTATACACTGTATTCACCTAAGTTATTGAAAAGTATTTCATTTGTCTTTCAGTGGTTCATGGTGAGAGAACTGTCCTTAAATGGCAGGCTTTCTACTGATGATTTTTATCACAGTTATGGACTAACTGTGGTCACTGACCTAACTGTGGTCACAGGAACTGAAGTAACTATTTTCTTGTCCTAAATTGGCGAACTTCAAGTTCAAAATAAACCATCTCTCCCTCTTTGGACTCAATCAGGTAAATGAGTACAGTACTTAGTAAGTTCTTAATAAACACTACCTGCTGTAACTATTATACTCTATTTCAGTGAGAAAAGTACCTAATAGTGACTTCAAAATCCAAAAGTTTAGAAATACACATCAGTTAGTAGATCACACCAATGTGAATGTACTTAATGCCATTGAACTGCATACTCAAAATGGTAAACTTTATATGATGTTTATTTTACCACAATAAAAAAAATTTGAAAAGCTATATTGATTAAAAGACCATATAACTCATTTCTTACTGGATATTATGATTGACTAATTGAAGCAGAAATTCCAGATCAAGCCCAATACAAGTCAGCAATGACGTATGATCCGTATGTCATTCGATAAGCACTCTATTTACAAATTCATTTTCACCGCTTCTAGAATCTAGAATTACTGAACAGTTTTCTACTTACCTTTATTTCTTACACGTAGGTCACCCAAGGTTTACTCTGCAGATAAGTGTAAAAAAGAACAAATACAGTCTTTTTACTATCACAGGGCTCCTGAATAAGCTGTTAGTGGAGCCCGTGTCTGAGACAGCTACTCACAAGACCCTAACATATCCTATGCCATTATTTAAAATGTAAATCTCTAAGGTTACAAGGGGGATTAGTTATTCAAGGTAGAATTTCTCTCCACAGTCACTATGATCTAAGCCAGAGTTTATATTTAGAGTCATTCTGACGACTGTAATATTACTAGTTCCGGGCAGCTGAATGAGTCTGTAGATAAATGGAGTGGATAAGCAGATATACTATTTAAAAAACAAAACAAAACAAAACAAAAAAACTTGCTGAGAACTTCTGAGAGCTTTAAAGTGTCAGTGGTCTTTCTTTCTCTCTCCTTATAAGTAGAAGGAACATGTCTGATATCAGAGGTATTAATAGGAGAGTTAAAAGCAAAGTCTCTGGTTTACAAGGTCATAGTTCATGTATCAATGATTAAAGAGCTTTAAGGAATAACAGGGAAAATATAAAGTTCTACCAAAGTTCTGTGTCTAGAAATATAGCACCTACCAAGGAGACTAGTTTATTTCTGGTCTATTCCTAGAAAGTAAATAAATGTAGCTGAGGTTACATTTTTCTCTCACTGACATATTCTGCTTGTTATTTTCCATCTATTAGCAATGATTTGAACTTTATCACTATTAAAAAAATTACATACTATATCAAACTCCTTCCCTTTTTTCTAATCAATGTTTAAGATTAGATTTATTTAAATGTCCATTTTAATCAAAGTAAAACTCATTTCCAGAATTTTAAATAAGGTTGTTTGAAACATTACAAATTACAGTTTCATAAAAAGGCATAGCTTCCTTCTTCAAAATTGGGATGAAAAAAAAGGCTAAAATGCCCAATACCAAAAATGGAACTTCTCCAACATAAATTGGTTGACTTTTTAGTCTGAAATATCTTTCTACATTGCAGTGATTTCAGGCAGTTGTAAAGGAAAAGGTGATATGTGATGATATTAACAGCAAAACTTACTGAAAGCAATTTGGCCCAAATACAGTGGCGAGATTGTGAACATTCATGCGGTTCTGCACATGGTGCTTGGCTACTTTTGTCAAGAATTGGCAAAGGTACTTGAGGAGGCAGTAGTGGGTGTCTGGCAGCTCTTTTATTAAGGCTCTTAAGCTACTCTCCTGAGCATCATTTCTGTCATCTGGAAAGAAAAAAGAACGAAAAATGTTCTCAGGCATATTTTACAGTAACAATAACAAAGATACACCGGTACAATACATTATAACACTTAATTCAAAAAATCATTCCCAGGGACTGAGATACAGCATTATAAAGAGGCATTTTTGCCTTTTCTTTGATCCTCAAGCATTTGACTTTAAAGAATAACTAACTTATTCAAGACATCCTGAAAACCACAAGCTTTTTATTCAGTGCATAAAATAGGTTACTATTTCAATTCTGTGTTTTCATGACACATATTAAGATAATGGTTGGGTTTTTATTCATAGTGGAATCTTCCATTTGACTTTTGTCTTCCAGTCTGTTAAAAACAAGAATCTCTTGGTTGAATAAAATTTGATACAAGAGACCTTCCAGGATTACCATGAGTGACACCAAACTTAGTAATCAGGAATCTGTGCACAGAGAAAACTGAAGGAAACTTTTAATTTTTACACAGCTTTTTAATCGCCCACGTCAAATAGTTTAGAATTTGCTACGTGCCTCATACAAAAGCCTAATAACCTTGTATAAAGGCAAAAGTATCCAACGATGTGCCAAAATTCACAGGCAGACGTGTGAAAAGTTCTCCTCAGTTCTCAAAGATTTGTTTGTTTTGTCAATATTTAAATACAGTGAAGTTGCTATCTTAAGTAATTTTGTATACTACTTTCCATCAGAGGAAAATACAAATCTTTTACAGCGAATACTTAAGCGGAATAATGACAATCCATCCTTTAGACGGATGTGTAAGAGAATGAAAATTTAACCCAGTTATATTTAACACACATTGGATTCTTTAATTGAGATAGGCCAGCTGCTTTAGCCAGTCAAGAGTATAAGAAACAGAAAAGTGAAGCAAATAAGATGCAAAGGAAGAGGGCTGACGGTTAACACTGATTAGTCAGCGTTACAAGATACATAGGCAACGTGCCATCACAGGAAACAAAAACACAGAAAACACACAGAAAGTCACAGACTGCTACTGAGTGTCTGCAGAGCATGGGATAAGAATGCAGGCTTGGGAGCCACTTTCTGGGTTAGGATCCTGCTTTAGCCACCTACTACCTGTGTGGTCTCGGACTCTTCACTAAACTGTTTCCTTATTTGTAAGTGGTAATAGTAACTATCCAGTAGGGCTGTGATGAGGATTAAATGAGCTGACAGTCGTAGAGTACTTAAAGCAGAGTAGTTGACACATACTGAGTGCTATGTTAAGTACTTGCTACACAAACAAAATAACTTTTTGCTTTACCTTCGTTAATTTGGTTTTATGAGCACACTGAGGTTTTAGTGAAATGTCTTTTAATATAAACCCTAATCCAAACCTAACCTTTATGAATATTAGAATAAGTGATGCTGTCAAAAATAGCAATGCCGGGCTTCCCTGGTGGCGCGGTGGTTGAGAATCTGCCTGCCAATGCAGGGGACACGGGTTCAAGCCCTGGTCTGGGAAGATCCCACATGCCGTGGAGCAACTAGGCCCGTGAGCCACAACAACTGAGCCTGCGCGTCTGGAGCCTGTGCTCCGCAACAAGAGAGGCCGCGATAGTGAGAGGTCCGCGCACTGCAATGAAGAGCGGCCCCCGTTTGCCGCAACTATAGAAAGCCCTTGCACAGAAACGAAGACCCAACACAGCCAAAAATAAATAAATTAATTAAAAAATTTAAAAAAATATATAAAAAAAAATAGCAATGCCAAAAATGTGTAGATTTCAATCTTTGGTAGAATCATATTGGAGAACATTCTATTTATGATTAGAATAATTATTTCTTACTGATCACAAACAATGTGATTCAATAAACTATAATGTTTAGGGCAAAATAGATTTCTTGATTCTAGAAGTTTTTCATATTAACTTAAGTTACATTTAAAAAAGAAATCATGGGGCGTCCCTGGTGGCGCAGTGGTTGGAAGTCCGCCTGCCGATGCAGGGGACGCGGGTTCGTGCCCCGGTCCGGGAGGGTCCCGCGTGCCGCGGGGCGGCTGGGCCCGTGAGCCATGGCCGCTGGGCCTGCGCGTCCGGAGCCTGTGCTCCGCAGCGGGAGAGGCCACAACGGTGAGAGGCCCACGTACCGCAAAAAAAAAAAAAAAAAAAAAAAGAAATCATATCCAGATACTTTGATAATCCATAAAGACATGCGCGGTATGTTGCATATGATGGCATCGTTTTCCACTGTACTATGATCTTGCCTACCAGGAATACGTAAGAAACGGAAACAATTAAGTTTGGAGTGATTAAAAATGAACTGAAGACTACCCATTTCTCATGCCTTTATATCATATAAATATGAACTAAGAGAAAATGCACTCCTATTTGTTTTTTTGTTTCTTTTTTATGGTGACTAATCCAAAGGGAGTCTGGATGTCTTCATGGGTGTGTGCTCTCATTCTAAAATTGTGGATTAATTCCCAGCGTTTCAGGGTACAAGCAACAGCTTTCCAACAGCCTTGACAATGCACCCCTGCCCTTCTTTCTGGCTCTGAAATGAAACCTCAAATCCTACGGCAGGCAATGCGTGAAGACACAAGATCAAAAAAATATATTCAGGATAGTTAGGAATTTATGACATCTTTGAAAAAGAAGCAGTACTTTGATCATACTTCTAATATTCTGAAATACAGTGAATAATTTCCCAGGAAATAAAACTGATAAAAAATAGGAAGGGAGACATCTATTCAGAGAATCTCCAACTTAACAAAATACCATGAAATCCTTTATGGCATGAATGAAAGAATCGCTAAATATGTTTTCCAAAAGCAAAAATAAATGTGAGGGAAAAAATATATCTATCTCCTTCTACCCAAGAGCATTTCTGCTGCCTCTGATGGAAGACAGATTCACTGGTTCACTCGCTGGGTGAGGACACGAGTGTCCTCTACTTGGGCGGCTCTGACAGCAGCACATCATGTTTGGACCTTAAATATTCATAATTTACCTCCTGAATTTGTTCAAATACATCGACAGGGCTGTCAAGACCTTACTTTATTAACATGACATTTCTACTCGCCTCTTTCCATACGGATTAATTACGTGCTACCGTAATACTGAGAATCTGCCACGTGCACTGCGCTTCCAGAAACACGAGGTAAATATCACCATTATTGTCTGACTACAGCAACCCCACAGACGAGATCTCCTACACGTAAGATTAATAACTGCTCCACACGTTTAGAGGGGGACTGTGGAAGAATGCCCAGCGTAGCACTCCGTGGGGGAGTGTGGGTGTGAATGTGCCTAAGGAGATGCCTTCTGATGTTTTCCAGAAGCAAAATTCATAATAATTATTATTGCTTGCATTACTTTTTGATTCACTGGTACCTAAATATAATAAACAGTGTCATATTCATTCATGTTCTTGCATTTATATTGGTCATGACAATGTCTCCCTCAACGTCTCACAGCATGAACAAGCCTTAGCCATGCTTCTATCTTGGGCACATTGATTCCTAACGTATACTTACGGCACACTATGTGTGATGTTGATCACATGCTGTCTGCGTGTCTGATTGTCTCTAACACCAGGAATATAGCACTGAACGAAATAAACGTCATGCTTTTATTAAGCATATTCTACTTGGGGGGGGAGACAGACAAAAATCAAGTCAATTTTTTTGATTTATGCTATGAAGTGCTATGAAGAAACATAAAGCAGGGTCGGGGGACTAAAGCAGAGCGAAGCAGGAGTGAGGGATGGCGGGGAAGCCCTCTTAATGAGGTAGTGATTGTGTTTACCTTATCCAAGTCGAGAAGGCCCCTCGGCTGTGGTGACAACCGAGCACAGCTGAAGGAAAGAGCCAAGAGCATTCTAAGCAGTGGACACAGCAAGTGCTAGGGCCCTAAGTGGGTCCTGGGGCTGGGGCCAAGGGGTGGAAGGTGGGAGAGTGGTAGGACATGAAATCCAGGGACGGTGAGGGCAGACCATTACAGTCTTATAAGTCATGGGGTTTTTCTTTTCTCCCCCTATGTCAGGGTTCTGAGCTGTGGGGAGACTTGAAAGGACCACTCTGGCTGCTGTACTGAATCCCAACTGTGGGAGGCATAGCTGAATGCAGGGAGACTCTGGTTAGAGGACCACTGTGACACTCCCAGAGGAGAAAGGCCAGCTGGCCTGGACGAAGTTGCCAGTGGTAAGATGGTGAGACACGGGCAGATTCTGGATAGAGTTTCAGTGTGTCCTGTTTGTTTTACACATGAAAAATATGTGTACGGAATACTTATTCCATCATTCAACAAGTAGCTATTGATTGACCACTCTATGTCAGGCACAATTCTAAACATTTGGGATACATCCGTAAACAAAACAGAAATCCCTGCCTTGATGGAACTTACATTCTCGTGGATGAGACATTAAAAAATAAACATAGTGATAGGGCTAGAAGAAACTGGGAGTACTGGCCAGGGTGAGGCGTGGTGACTGTAATTATAAATAAGATTGTCAGGAAGGCCTAGTTGACAATGCATCTGATGTCTGGAGGAAGTTAAAGTAAAAAAAAAAAAAAAACCCACAAGCTGGCAAATGTAAGCTCTTTCAGAGTTGGAGATTGAGTTTTAAACATCTTTTAAAGCCCCTCAATGCCTGGCATATAAAAAGTGATCAAGAAGTGGTTTTAATAGATCGATACACATTTAAGGCACACTTTTAAGCCACGCAGTTAAGACCTAATACTATAGGAATAAAGAGACATCTATATATCAAATATATCTAAAAGAAATGTGGAGTAATTTAGTCCATTTACAGAACTAGCTGGGTCAGGGTGTTACATAGGAATTATACTACAGGGAGTATTTAAATGATAAGAAATCCTTTGGTGGTCAGAGAGGAAGGATACTTGGCGATAAAATTCCACAGAAAGGCTTCAGAAGTAGTGAAGTGCGCCTCTGCGGATGTATTAGAATATTTTAACTGTTTTTAACTTGAGGTTACTTCTAGAATTAAACTGGAATAAAAAATTAGGATGTGTATAATTTATTCATCCAA